CCACATCGGCTGTACTGAAAAGTTAGGATTTGGCATGTGGCAATGTGTGGGTTCATCTCGCTAGGTCCAGGTGGGAAGATTTCGGTGGGACTGAGATGGACATTTAGGGTTTTGGACAGATGTGATGTGGAGAAGTGTTTGATGATTTTGGAGCAATACCACTAAGCACTTGACCAATTGAGTCCTGATCAAAACCTCATCCCTTTTAATAGTATGGGGTTTCCTATGGACTCAATGTGATCTTGGATCACTTAACCAAAAAAGTAGAGTCTTGGAGCTTTGCTAATTCTTGTCCTTAGCATTTTCAGGGGTCCATAGTCACTAGTCCTTGCCATGCCAATCCTTGATCTTCTTTGAAAACTATTATCAATGAGAATTAGATCAATGAGCTATATATTTTTATTAATTACCAAAATCACCTCAGGATTAGTTGCACTTTCAATCTCCCTCTTTTTGGTATTTGATGACAACATATAGATCAAAGCTTCGACAAATGATATAATCAAAGGAATACATCGTCGCTTTGAGAAGTATGTGATAAGTAAGAGTTCCCCCTAAATTTTTGCATCATTAGAAATTTGCGTTTGAATGCAAATGCACAATCGATTAGGATCATGGGTTACTCTTCCATGTCACATACATCTTCCAGTGTAGCCGCCGACTGGGATAAGGTAGTGGAGCTATAGGTTTCCCCTCTACGCATTCATGCCTCTATGTACTCCGTTTCATGAAGTACTGGTGTTTTATCCAAACCTTGAGGCATTTGTTAATCCTCGTGTATATCTGATGGAAGACTGCCGTTTTTCATTTTTAGTACATAGATTATATGATCTCACTTAAAATCCTTCCAGATGTGAAAAATAGCTAGACTCTGAAAGCTTGATTCAAAAGTAACTGAAGAGGTGGTCATTTCATTTCTTTTTTCTCCTTGCAGATTTCCTTATTTCCATAAAATAAATGTTTAGTACACTTCAAGAATTACTAGATGACATCTCTACCATAAAGATTGCTCTGAAGACGTTTGAAGCAACCCTGATGATATACATCAGTAGTATATTAATTAATGCACATGACTCATTGTCATGCTAGTGGCTCCAATAAAACCTAATAATAATGCTAATCGGGCTCAAGGTGCATGTTTTCCAACAAGTAGACTAAACATGCCGGCAAGTGACAGAAAAGGACTAGAAGGGGCGATTAAGTTCAATAATAGTTGCATCTACTTGTGCTGCCTAGAACGAAATAAAGCAACCAAAAAATGTCCTATCCAGCACCACAACTATATGACTCATGGTTATATACAAATTTAGTATTCATGTTATGCATATTTGGTCTAACATGCTCTGTTCTCAAGCATATACCATATAATAGAAAGTTTAATTTAGAATTATGGTGAGATGCATTGTGAAATAACAACTGTTTTGGCCTGTTCTTAACCCAACTATATCAACTCTGGCTGTTTCTCCAGCCAATCAAGACCTTACGACTTTGGATGCTATCAAGATTTCACGGGAAGCTAACCCAAAAGGTATGACTTTGTTGCAGCCGGTTTGGTGGACTGCATTTCAGGTAATGTGGTTAATGCCATTATATTCCCGGTCACTAATGTCTTAAAAAGCTTATTATCCCGGGTGCTTTACTTTTAATATGCCACAAAGATTCAAACTATGTTATCTTCACCTTATTTATTGGACCAATAGCAGACATAAAGATAAACCGCTGAGACATATGTTTTTAGTTTATCTTTGTGGATATCAGCCATATTATGTAGGCAATCACTATTTGGTTGATATGTTTGATTTTTTGTATGAACCTATTGTGGGCTAACTCTGTTGAAGAAAAGGGAAGCTCACATATAGTAATTTCATCTAATTTCATGTACCATTGCTGCAATTTTACTCGTTTTTGAGTTTGGACTTCACTTTTTCTTGATTTAGGTGAAAGAATGTTTGGTGTGCTCACAAAAAACAATTTAATGGAAAAGGGTACTGATGTTCTTCATGTAAGTTTTGACCAGTTAACCAAGTGCTAAACACTTGTATGTGTTTTTCTGCAGTTATTCTCGAGTTTTACAACTTCGAAATTGGTGACAAGTTATCCTGGAAAGGTAACTTATATTGGCTTCTTAATGTAGACACTCAAATGTTGTGCTTATTTGGATTGATATAGCGAAGCCCTTATGTATAACTAGGATCTTGCCGCCGGCCACGCGGTTAACAATGCCCAACGCCAGTCGCTGATGTTTTAGTTTGGGAGTTTTGATATTCTTCATTAAGCGTGTATGCAAACTATTTATGAAACTATTGAGATGTACAAATTTAGTATCAATAGTCTGCAAGTTGTATTAGCCATAGTTGAACATCTTTCATGTTTATCTTTCTCTTAATCATATCACTTACAGGAAAACATGCTTGGATATATCTTGTCCGGAGTCTGGAGTATACTCAGGAGCTTGAGTAAAGACTAACGAGTACATGATCTTTTTTGTGAAGGAACCATTTCATTATCTCATGGCAACAGACCTGATTACCAACAACAACAACCTTTTAAATCTTTTCCCCCGTAGAACTGATAGTTGTAGTTACATTTGCTAAAATCTGAAGAATGTGACCTTTTAGAATATGCTCTATATCCTGATAACAAAATAGGGAGTTGAATTTTTATTCAAATAGATTATGTCTATAAGATTTTGGCGTTGTTTTAGTTTTTTTGGTTATATATTGCCTTCCTGAAGGGTTGCTTGTTGGACTTTTCTACCTTTTCTCAAACAAAAGTTGTTTGTAGTCTATATGTTGTCCAACTTGTGGTTTCTTCTGAATGGTTACTAAAACTCAAGATGCTTGCTCTCATTGTTTCGTAATCAGGTGTTGAATTGGTTCCATTGTTGATTGATTTTCAATATAGGGATGCAAACGAATAGGTGGCACATCTAGGTCCCTCACCATGCCGTGGACACGGCGGCCCTACTGGAGTACGGTGCAGACGAGCCACATGTTGATGTAGGTGGTGGCTCCTGTCACTCACACCGGCTGGTTCTGCTCCGGCGAGCCGCAGCCGTCGCTGCCCGTCTTGATCTCACCATGCATCTCATTTAGGAAGTGTGTGGGACGCATAGGAGGGGAGCAAAAAAATGTGGAGCTGTCAGTCCCTCCACGATTTTTCTAGAGCTGTACTTGTGCACATTGGAAAAGTAGCTAAGCTGCGGAGAAGCCAAGGAAGCATCGATTGCTGCCAGATGTGTGAAAGCCTATCCGAGGCCTCTGCGTCGCTGGGCGACATATTGAAGGAGATCAAACACGCATATATATGATTTATATCACAGATTCACAGGTCTTTAGATTGTGGGTATGTAAACCTTTGAACCAGACTGCGTATTAGTGAAGCAAAATGATGCTAAACTAGTCTGTGGCATTTCTTTGCCTAATTTACTTGCTGGTGATTGCATAAAGAAATTGTGAGTCAATTTATTTTCTCAATGCCAGTGTTCACGACATAACGGTAGTTGTTAAACCATGTACATAATTAGGATGGGAGCACACAGACCCGCCTTAGGTGGCGCCCCAGCCTCTAATAAATTACAAGAGAGATGCCGCAGTTGGCAGTTGAGACTGGAGCTCTAAGGGCATGTACAATGGTTGATAAGACAGTCTTATCTTAAATCTTGCATGTAATTTAGAGATGACAAAAAAGCATGTCTACAATGGGTTATATCTTAGCCTTATCTTCAATAACTAGTCATTCTTTAAAACATGGTGAGAAAAATTATGTTAAGAAATCATCTCTTGTCTTATCTTAAATAAGAGAAGACAAGCATTTTCTTATGAGTTCTCTCTCCTCCACCTCATTATTTATCCTACGTGGCATTTCTAAGATAGCACCAAAAAATTTCTAACCATCTACGCATAATAACAACCTAGACTAACAAACCAAATCCTGGCCGGCTTTGTAGTCTACGAGACGCAGCGCCCGAGCTTCCTTTCGTACGCACGTACGAGCGCCCAGAGACTAGCTCGCCTACGCTGTCCTCTACTACGCGTTCTAACGCGTCCGGCCACGGCTGCTGCTAACTGACTACGACTCGATCATAAGCACAGACTCGAAACGCACACACGCACCCAACGCACGCACACACGCACGCTCGCCACGGCGTCCGGCACGACCAGCACGCACGCACACGTTGGTCACCACCACCGCCGTGTCTTATTCCTAACACCCTCACCCTGCGCATGCGGCCGCCTCCGTCACGGCCGTGGCCACCGCGGCCGTCACGGCTGGCGGCGACCCAGCGGTGCTCCACGCGGTCCTCGTCAAGACCTCCCCCGCCTCTAGCTCCGGCTACAACCTTCTCCCATGTCGCTCTCGCAGCCCCTCCTCTCCCGCCTCCCTTTCCGCCCCACTGCCGCCTCGCTCACCTCCTCCTTGTCTTCCATTTCCTCCTCCTCCCCGTACTCCGTGCTCCCGCTCCTCCGCAACCTCCTCAGCACGTCCCCTTCGCTCCTCCCTCCTCCGCTCCATGCCGCCCTCCATGGCGCAACGTCTTCACGCCCTCGCCTTCAAGATCCCTCTCGCCTCCTCTCCATTCTCAGCTTTGTGTCTCATAAGTCATAACTATGTACTCCCGATCCCGCCTCCTAATGCCGCACACCACCTGTTCGAAGAAATCCCTGTTGCCTACCAAGACCCCGTCTGCTACTCCTCCACCATCGTTGGCCTCGCAAAGAACGGCTGTCCGCAGGAGTCTCTGTCCGTCTTTGTTGGCATGCGATCCAATGTCGTTGCTTCCACCAGGTACGCACTGTCCGGTGCACTCCGGGCGGCCGCGACACTTGATGCTCTGGAGCAGGCTTGTGGGATTCATACGCATGCATTGGTGACTGGACTTGATGGGAATGTGGTTGTCGGGACCGCGCTGGTGGATGCATATGGGAAGGCCGGGGTTGTGGAAGATGCACGGAAGGTGTTTGAGGGGTTGGGTGATGATCGGAACTTGATCATGTGGAATGTCATGCTGGCTGTGCTTGCACAGCAGGGGATCCGATGTCCATACGGTTAATTGGTTGTTCCATGAGATGATGGAGTCGTGCTTTGAGCCTGATGGGCTGACGTTTCTTGCTCTTCTCACAGCATGTAGCAATGCTGGTGCAGCAAGAGAGGCCGAGTTTTGGTTGGAAGCAATGCATTCAAAGTACAAGGTGAAGCCTGGTCTTGAACATTACACATGTCTGATTGCTGGAGTGGCTCGGGTAGGACGCCTTGAGGATGCGGGTATCATTGCATCTACAATTCCATGCAAGCCAGACGCAGCTGTGTGGCGGACACTCCTAACAGGCTGTGTGGTTCACGGCAAGGATGATATGGCGGGGATCATGGGGCAGCGCCTATTGGAGATTGACCAAAAGGATGATTCAGCCAATGTGATGCTTGCCAATGTCGACTCCACAACAGGAAGGAAGGATGAGGTGGCTGAGGCATGTACTGCAATGAGGGACTACAGAGTCAGAAAAGCAGTAGTCAAAGTTGGATTGAGATGAGAGCACAGGTACATGTGTTTGCCGCTAATTGAGAGGTAACATGATAAATTGTTGGATATACATGACAAGTTAAATGAATTGATTACAGAGGTAGAGAAGTTAGGATACAAGGAGGTAGATGAGGGGCTATGTCATCACAGTGGAAGGTTGGCCCTTGCATATGGATTGATTACTGGGTCTGTGCCTCAGGGAAGATGCTGAGAGAAGTGAAGAACCTTAGAATGGCCCTGTTTGGATACTCTAACTCAGTTAGAGGTTAGAGTTAGATTCTAACCCTGAACTAACCCTGAACTAACTCTAAGTAAAGAGGTGTTTGGATGGCAGGGTTAGATGGAGCGCGGATACGGCGAGGCACCTTCACGGGAGGTGCGAGAGGGAGGGAGGGAGAGGACGAGAAGCTTCGAGGAAGTGGGGAGGGATCTGCTGCAGGGAGAGCGAGAGAAAAAAGTATTTATTAGTGGTCCCGAGAAGAACTAACCCGAATAAGCACCTCTTGGATGGGTTAGTTTTTTGGTTGGGTTAGATGCATCTAACCCAAACTAACCCTCCTATTTGGATCTTTTTGGGTTAGTTGACTCCAAACTAACCCAAACCAACTCTAACCCATGGATCCAAACAGAGCCAATATGTGCCCGCTGTTGTAAATTCTTCAAGTATGCCATCATCATGATTGACAGTGATTGCGGTAAGGTATGTCAATTGGTACCACACATTTAAGTAAGGTGTTTGCAGTTGCAGGGATTATTGGTGAAATCTTTATGATAAAGCATGATACCAGAACTATTTGTGAAATCCTTACTATTAAACATAATACCAGGATTGTTACCCAAAGGAGGTACTCCAGATTGTTGTCGGAAAAATTACTTGGTTTCATGTTTTGGTTACGGCAGGGAAGCTGAGCTTGAATACATGCTTGGCATTCTATAGAATCCTATTGGTGTAGCGGTTAGTGAGAATGTTTGATCGAACCTGAGTCAGGACAACAGTGTTTGGAACATGGAACAGCAGGAAATCATTTCTTCTTGGGAAGTTGGGCTTGGCTGTTTGCTGATTAAGTTGTGACCTCATGCTCTGGGGGGTTCTCTTCTGACTAAGGCTGATCGTAATGGTAGTATCATAGTTAGTATCATGCATGCCAACTAGCAATTTTGATGAGGTGTCATAACATTAAATAAAGAAAGAGAGGGTGTAGTATCATATCATGATACCGTATCATATTAAATGCTATGCTACTTTGTGTCATGCATGACAATAAATAAAGTACTACATGATACTAATATATGATACTATGCATTAAAGAGGTAGATCATACACTAGTATCATATGCATGATACTAGTATATGATACTCCCCATTACAACCAGCCTAAGTTCAATTGGCATTCTGTTGCTACTCTCATTCAGACAGGGACACCGTAAATTACAGAGAGGAAATATGTGGGGTTTGTCCTTATATGACTGCTAAGTAATCACATCTAGCTGAAGCTGAGGTCGTTTGTCTGTCCCACTTTCGTGCTGGAGAATGGTTTCAGTGTTTTGAGTGTGCCATCTTACTACTTTCAGATGGTGTGGCGTCTACCTTGAGTTGCTAGGTTCCATCCACACTTGGGGACATGCTCATGGACATCAAGATTGAGTCCTCGTTTTTCCTTTTGATCTCTTTCGTCCAAGTCAATCAGGAAGCGAGCAAGATAGCACATCTTTTAGCTCGGGCAAGTGAGTTGTCAGTTTTTGTTTCTTTAAGTGTTCATTCTGGACTTTATCCAAGCAAGCCTTTATAATGACTTTACTTTGGTTTAGATAATGCACTGCAAGTTTGCCAAAAAAGATGACATTTAAGTACAATGGGCTCCAACCAGAAGAGTTGTAGCGTGGGACCTTAGGGGGTGTTTGGTTTAGAAGTCCTAGGACTTTTTCTAGTCCCAGGGACTAATCAAAAAAGACTCTCTAGTAGAGTCTTTTTCTAGTCCCTGTAGAAAAAGTCCCTCCCGTTTGGTTCCTAGGGACTTTTTAGGGATTTTTTCTAGTCTCTGGGACTAAAAAGTCCCTGAACCAAATACCCCCTTAGTTTGTCTGAACCCGTGCATGCCTAAAATGCATATTGATACATGTTAGTTTCACAGGTGTTCTGTCTTTCATACTTCATCGATTGGACTTTATTACCACTCATAATGAATCTATAGAGAGTAATCCTGGTACATGCATGTTGTAGATTAATTTGTTAAAAGCTGCTTATGTTTATGGTCATCAGCCATCACCATCTAATCTGGTATATTGCTTACCGGATAATCTCCATCAGTGGATTAGCCCAACCTTGGATATTTAGCATATGAAGAACCCCAAGTAACGGGCGAACCCACACTTGTTTGGCTTACAGCAACACGAGGCTTGACACCATGCGATCAGCGCCGCGGCTGCTTGCGTGCATGCAAACGTGATGCAAGCTGACGTGTGGACACAGGTGTAACTTGGAGACAACAAGGTATGCTAGGATTTTTGTTCACTAGTAATGGCGAAGCAGTACATTTTTGATAAATAGCATAGCAGTACATAGGCTCAATTAGACCATAATCAGTTGATACAATTATTGGGAATCAGGCATGCAGCAGGAACACGATGAGGGCAGCAGACCCTACATAGCTCAGGCTCCGCCGCCGCTACCTTCGAGGCAACCACCACTGGAACAAAACCTGTGCGGTCAAGGATGTGGCTGCAAATAAGGAATCAAGCATACTCTACATGCATCAGGGACAATCCTCTGTCTGGGAACACAACAGCGGTATTCTGAACTAGCAGCTAAGGATGCAAGAAAAATACTTACATAATTACATGGGCCAAATCAGCAGTCTCCCTTGCGGAACGCAAATTGACCCAGGGCCGGTCCTGAGATTTTGGGGGCACGGGGCGAACCAAAAATTCAGGGCCCTTAATAAACATATTATAGTAATAAAAATGAATCAATGTTTATATGAAAAATTACCAATAACACTTAAATTCATCCAAGCTTAATATGCGTATCAAATAATTTATACATATTACCTTAAAAATTTTCTTCTAACAATCCTCGGTGTAAAGTCACTTATGATGGGGTTGATGGCAATCACATCTAATAATTTCCTCTCAATGCATAATGTAGCCAAACCATTTAACCTCCGTTGATTCATTGTTGTCCTCAAATAATTCTTCAACAATTTCAATTCCGAAAACCTTGTTCAAGTTCATTATCACTTAATGAATTAAGGGTGCCCGAGCTCAATAAAAATCCAAATATATTTTTAACCACCATGAGTTCTTTAAATCTATCCTTCAAAGAAGTGATCTCCATATCAACCAAAACCAAAAAATTAACAAATACTTAACTTGGAAATCCTTCTCAGCTTCTAGAATTTATTCTTCACAATCACTTTCGTCAAACTGTTGACATTTTCTTCTTGCTGATCAAACTCCGAATTCCTATTAGACTGTTGATCTTCCTCTATGACAACCATCAGTAACTCATCATCTGGGTTTACCAACGTAGTGGAACCACCCATACTACTCTTGAGATATGTATGAATATGTCCGTGCTGTGATTGTATCAATTTATCCACAGCCTTCTCCCTTTTTCCTTTTAGTACTACTCGATGCATAGTTCCTGTTTCTCACCGACATGATAACACACAATCCTGAAAAAGAAAATCATCGGATCAATTATTGAACGATACCGCACATGCATCAAGGAATGGCAAATCACCAATATGATATACCTGATCCTGATGGTCGAATCTGTGATGAGCGTGAGTCTGTGTACTGTGTGCAGCACCTAGAGTCGGAGAGCAATTGACCAAAGACGGGCGTGGCGATGGGCTCCTTGAACTGAAATCAGCGGTTAACTCGATCAGGAAGGAGATTAGCGCCAGGCGGCAGGAGTGTTGGCGTCAGCGGCCTAGGGCTGGGAGCGTGGGAATCACTGCGTGATGAATTGGGACGGATCGAACTGTGGAGGGGATACGTTTCCAAAAAAAAAACTGCTGTGGAGGGGATCACGATCTCTTTTTTTAGGTAAAGCCGTGAAACCTAGAAGGGATAACTACTGCTCTTTTTTCTACGTGAAAAAAGGATGAGGGAAGCTATTGCTATCGTGTCGCTGCGGCTCGTTTCGCTGGCGCGCCTGAGTCTGCATGAACGCTGAAGGGCCAGCGCCTTTGACTTTTTTTTCTGACATGAGCCTACCTAGGCCTGCTAT